TTCAGTCCTTAGCCTCCCAAGTGCTGTCGGTGAGTGACTGATTCACGTTTATGCTACCTCTATTCATGTGTGTTGGCTTATCTCCACCTATCAGCTGCGAGCCTGCCTAGCAGATACATGACTCGAAGCACAACACTCACCACAACGATACACAGGACACACAACACTGGCTGGCCCATGTTAGCCAGGCCAGACAGTGGTACACAGGGCACAGCATGGCGAGAAGGTGGAAAACCACTCAACGGCAGTGCCCAGAACGAACCCACAGAGTTAGATCTGGGCCGAGGGCTCGTGAAGTGCCGTGAAGTGTGGCCGTGTAGCACCACGTTAGCCAAACCCGAGACAAACGATAGACAATACCAGGCACGACGAATTAATGAGAAAGTGGAGACTCACTCACTGACACTGTCAAGCGGTACAAACACACCATCGATCCGGGGAGAGGGCTCGTGGGGGTGTGAGGCATGTGGCAAAGTTAACATCCAAAAGAGGACAGTTCAAAACTTTGATTATAAATCCAGTCCAGAGATCGATAAGTGAAGATGGAAATGTTCACAAAAAACAAAAAGTAGACGAACCAAGCGATTTCACGACAAAAACAGACAAGAGAAAGCAAAGGGCGAAGAGAAGCGGCATATTGATTACGTCTTGTGTCTTGTGTTGTATTTTAACAAAAATGGATTGACCATATTCACTTCCATTGTAAGTGCCTGGCTGTATCTTTGCTTAAACTGGAAATTATTTTTGTAATTTGTAAACATTATGCCACAACTGCTCTCACTGAGCTTAATTTATGCTGTATCTGCAATATTCCTTTAACAACCCTGTGTGTTTGTGTGTGTGTCAGGAGCTGGAGTCTCTCTACAGCAGACTATGAGATACCTGTCTTGAGGAGATCAAGACCATGCTTAGGGGGGAGATACAGGGCCAGGAGCTCGGGGATCTGTTCTTCGACTGCGTGGTCAAATTCTACCAGTGAGACAGCTGTCAAGAGCAAGTAAACACAGAAATGACAGCATATCTCTCACACATCTGACCTGTGACTTCCACTGTCTGATATTGCTTGTAACTTCTAAATCTGCCTGGAGAGAGAGAGACGGCAGTGCACACAGGTTCTTGCCTGCTCAAATCCTGCTCTCCTAGTTCCCCTGATGCCATGCCAAAATAATTGTGATGTTCATGCCACACTAACTGTAACTTAAAAAAAAAGCACACACACACTAGAAGTTCATGTGAGTGGATCACCATAATCATATGTAATTGTCACACAGGGTGGTCATATACGCATCACATTAACCGGCTTGTTATAGATTACTATGGTGTGTATATGTGCTGTGGGTAAATGTGTGAGAGAAGGGATGTTAGGGAAATATATTTCTCATCCCTGTAAGAGTTTTTTACATAATTCCCAGTTATTTATATTCACGATTTCTAATATTTGTACAGGCTTTCCATTTTTATTTCAATGTAATAATTAGCAATTCATTTAATTTTATATGTGTAGAGTAGTGCTTGTTGTTTGTCATTTCTCCGTTCACAAATGCAGACATTATGCAGGTGTTATGTTTACGCGATGCGATGCAACGCAACGCAACGCGTAAAAAGACAGTATAAGTCATTATAATCCATAATTATGTCCCCACTGGATGCAACGAATGCCTCGTTTATAATGGGTTTTCATGTTTTAGAATCATCGCTCCGGCCTGACAGGGCATCATCACAATATGGTAAGGGGCGTAACATTTCCGTCCACGCTTGAGGTATTCGGCCAATCACAACGCACTGGATAGCTGGCCAATCACAGCACACCTCGCTTTTCAGACCGATGAGCTTTGTAAAAATCTACGCGTTTCAGAAAGGCGGGGCATAGAGGAGAAACAATAATGTACAGTATGTGGAAAATAATGTGTTTTTTGAACCTTAAACCGCATAAACACATTTCATTACACCAAATACTGTTCTTTTTAGCAGCATCATATGACCCCTTTAAGCTTACGGACCTGTTGCTATGACAGCAACTCCGGGATGAGCTTCGAAGAACCAAATGATCCAAGATCATGCCAAATCGTCAACAATCAAATCCAACTAACTTGAGTTAGCGACGTACGAAGAACGGCCCTTGGGTGTCATCTCACCCAGGGTTTGGTAAATAGGCCAATTAATTAACTAGCATCTATCTGTTAACTTAAAACTTAGCATCTATCTGAAACTTATAAAACTAACCTGACCTTATTTGGATATGGCATCAACCAATAATTTTATCACATTGTCACAACATAGGCCACGCCCACCTGCGTTTAGTCGATTTAAGCTTCCATACTAGTACATTTGTATGTAGTCTTCGGAAGGATTCAGTATCGTGAAGGAATGGATGGTTTATTTTTAATTGCCTAGGCAGTTCAGGTTCGCGTCGTATGACTGTTCGGGGCATTTGACTGAATATTGTTTTGTAAATGAGGTACAGTGTAATGAAGAGTTCACACAAATTCGTTGAAAGATGAAGCAACCAACTTTATTGAATCTGACAGCAGCTGCAGCAAACCGTTCGTAAACAATTTAATGATGCTTTGTCTGTAAATGACGATTTTGTATGTATAATGTTTTTTAAACACTTAACTTGGGGCGTTGGTACAACTGATCTATAGAGCTCATATTTTCATTTATATGGGATGATACTTTTTCCTATCGAATGACATTAGACAGATCATAACAGTGGCCTTTTACTGGAGCCACCCCTGAGGGTTAAAAATATGAGGGTTTGTTTTCAAAGTGCACCTCAAGGAATGTAAGTTATTAAAAAAGATCCGTGTCATGACAGTTTAAAAGATGTGCTTCTCTCATCAACCAATCAACATCGCGAGAGAGAGGCAGACCATTTTCGAATATTAAATGAGAAGCTTTTGACACGTTCTAAATCCTCTGTATGACGTACATCACAGCAAGAACTCTAACAAAGTTAATTTAATTAATTAGTTAATAATTAGACCTGTACTAAACCTGTATCATCTTATAGGCCTATTTCATACAGTTGACTGTTGACACATGTGATGCAGGACAACTATGTTGTCCATAAATGTAGGCCTGCTGTCACCATAACAACTTTTTGTTGTGCGATATATTGCCCCAGAGATAATTGCGATAAGCGATATTATTGTCATTTTAAAGACCATTTTATGCCACTGAATATATAATAATGTAACAGCATAATAATGCAAGAAGGCCTACACACTTCCAAATGACAACAAGCTTTTAATTTTTAAGAATATTTAGATCAAAGAAATTAAGAATCAAAATATTAGATACCTTAAAAAACCTGAATAAATAGTAAATAAACATTTTCTAACAAAAAGTGCAAAGTAACAAGTAGAAAAAGAGAAAAACGCACAAAGAACTTGTATGGAGATTTTTCCATCTACAGATTTTTCCCTGACCTTCTCTGTAAATTAAGGGTGCACACTATTGCGGAGAAACACAATCACTACTTAGCAGTCAGATGTCCGTATGCACAAAGGCACAGATCCCTAAACAAGGCCATATCTGCTGATGAAACTTTGTTTGTAGAAGCATTTTTTAAATTTGAACTAGCACCTCATGACTACGTTGTGTACGAGAAGCTGCAAAAGACACAGGCGCAAGTGGAATGTACAAAACATGGTGACATTAATTTTTAAGTAAATATAATGGGCGATATATTGTGTCACCAAAAATGATTTGAGGGCATGTACATATATTGCGCGATAAGTCGATATATTGATTATTGCGACAGGCCTACATAAATGCAGTTATGTGCCCCCAAAACTAAAGATATTATGCCAAAAAAAAAAGCCGCTGTATGAATTTTTGTCTCATTTTTATATTATGTGATGAGCAATATCACACGAGTGCTGTTTTTGTCCCCAATAGCACAAGTGCAAAAGTTATTTCACGAGTGATTTCATACAGCAGTTAAGTAAATAAGTTAATATTGTGTTATATTTTCAACACAATATTGTCTATTTTTGCTCAGTTTGCCAACACAAATATTACCTATTAAAATATTACCTAAAAATAATGGCTTTAAATGATCTTTTGTGGGTAATTTCTCAGCCAAATTTAATGTGCGTTTAATATGCGATTAATTAGATTAATTACTTGCCACACTGTGTAATTAATTAGATTAAAAAATTAAACGATTGACAGACCTAGTAAAAATGCTCCAAACTCGATAGTCTTCAGTGACTTATTAATAATAAGATGTATAATAATACAAAAGCAGGACGTCCTATCAGAAGCCAACATCTTAGAGAATTGGTTGCTTGAGCTTGATGAAGCACCTCAGTGGGTGACTGATGGGCTTCTGTGTTCAGTTTCCCGCGGGATTGCTGTCTTGGATGGTGATGTTGAGTGGTGTCCCTCCACACCTATCTATGGGAACGAATCATGGCGTCAGGTGGTGTGACGCTCTCACTCACCCTTGCTCAGCTGAGTCACTCTTACCATAGAATCCCTGCTTTATATCTCTCACTGACAGTGAAGATCAATAGTGAAGCTTCGCTCGATGGGTGACGGTTGGGGTCCAATTCAGCTTCTCGTGGGAGGCTTACACGTGTTTGGGAGGTGTTGTGCTGAACTTGGTGGAGCTAGAAGGAGGCCAACACCTCCTGTGCTGTGGTGCATGAGAAATAATAACAACAATAATAATACAATAGCTATATCTAGAGCTGCACGATTAATCGTTAAAAGATCGCGATCTTGATTCTGACAACCACACGATCTCATTTCTAAATGACAACGATTCTCCCGTGTCTATTAAACCTTTGACAAAGTCTTACCGGATCATTTAAATCTGCGTTCGCACTGCCGCTGACACAGAGAGAGCAGTTACCATGTTTGGTTAAGAAACAGCTTCACAAACAGTCTTTTCAACTACACAGTATTATTTCTGTCGTACAGTCATTCATCTTATCCCAGAAATACTGGGATGAAAGTTTATAATTCAGATATAAACATTGATGTCTATGGTAGCGTGACCAAAATAGAGAGTTCCGCATGTGCAGTGGTTAAAATGACACTGTATTTGTTCGGTACGAATAATAAGTGTACCATTACACCCCTAGAAAACATTTAAAACACCAAAACTGTACTTACCTGCATAAGAATGTGTCTGGGCAAAGGCTGCTGTTGTAAATAGGGAGCTTTTTCATCATCTTCTTCTTTTTTTAACAGCGATTGAAAGAGGAAGCAGAGCGGAAATAACGGATATATTTTCAAAATTTCAGTAATCCACCAATAGGAATAAGGGAAGACACAAAGCAACCAATAGCATTGTTGAATGGGCTGAGATGTGGACTGCCACTAACCTGCCAGCAGTTTATATGTGTTTTTCCAAATAAAAGCCAAATGTTAACCATAAGTTAACATATTCCATGGTGTGCCATAGCCAAGCCACATATGGCTCTCAGTTGTGTGCTATCATCTGGACCATATACCTCAAAAAAATTGTCATCCAAAAGAAAATTCCCTCCAATTCTAAATCCATGGCAAAACATATACGGTTCAAGTTTGGCCCATATGTGCTCAGCCATGCCATACCTAGGCCAAATGTGACAGCTATCAGCCACATTTTGCCCAAACGTTCTTGCTATCTGGGAATTCACTAGGTGCCGAGAAGTGACTTAAAAAATGTATAAATGAATGAATCATTTATTCAAGAGAATCGTTCAAAAACGCTGATTCATCAAGTAGGTTTATGAGTGAGTCCTTGAATCATTGATTCAAACAACTTTTTCATCATTTTAAAGGGGTCATATGATGGGATTTCAAGTTTTCCTTTCTCTTTGGAGTGTTACAAGCTCTTGGTGCATAAAGAAGATCTGTAAAGTTGCAAAGACTAAAGTCTCAAATCCAAAGAGATATTCTTTATAAAAGTTAAGAGTCAGCCACACCTACCTAAAACGGCTCGTTCTAACACGCCCCAACATACCTACGTCGCTCTGTGGTAAGATTTGCATAACGCCGCCCAAATGTTCACGCAAAGAAAGAAGGCGTAACTTTTATTCTC